CCCCCCCCCCCCCCCCCCCCCCCCCCCCCCCCCCCCCCCCCCCCCCCCCCCCCCCCCCCCCCTCCCCCCCCCCCCCCCCCCGCCCCCCCCCCCCCCCCCCCCCCCCCCCCCCCCACCCCCCCCCCCCCCCCCCCCCCCCCCCCCCCCCCCCCCCCCCCCCCCCCCCCCCCCCCCCCCCCTTTTCCCGTCGCCTGTCGAGGCGACCTGAGAGGCCAGCTGAGGGGTGGCAGGTGTGGTGGTCTCCCCTGCTTCTCCTCCTCCTTCGTCTCGAGCCGCCCTGCAGCCGAGCCGCCTCGCCGCCGAGCCGCTCACACCCGAGCCTCCCAGCAGCCGCGCCCCCTGCAGCCGAGCCGCTCTACACCCGAGCCTCCCAGCAGCCGAGCCGCCCTACAGCCGCGCGCCGGGTCGCCGAGCTGCCGAGCTGCAGTTGCTGCCGAGCCGCCCTGCTGCCGAGCCGCCCGAGTCGCCCGAGCCGCAGAGCCGCCGTGCTCCCGAGCCTCTGAGTCGCCGAGCCTACTCTACCCACCACTGGTGAGCCCCTGCCCTGCTAGCACGCTGCGCGTCGCCTGCTTGCCTGCCTGCCTCCCTTTTTGGCTTGCCTGGCTGCCTGCCTTACTGCTGCTACTCCTGCTCCTGCCTCTACTGGTGGAGCCAGATGCGGCCCATCGACGTCTGCGTGAGTCCCTCACGCCCCAGCAGCTGCCGTGAGTGGTACGCTGGTTGGGGCTGTAGGGGTGGTGGCGCTACAATGCTACCACTCCTGCTGCTTCTCCTACTGGTGGCGGCCAGATGCAGCTCCCGCGACCCCCCCGCGCGTCTCTCACGCCTCAGTAGCTTCGTGAGTGGTACGCTCAGAGTGGAGGGTCTCTCAGTTCTGTTCGCTGCTCTTACGTGATTCTCACTGGTGCTCGGACTGGTCAGCCTTGTGGACACCTAGTCATACACAGTCCCGCTGCTTCGCCCGTCTGAGCGACGCCTGGCGTACCGGTTTGGCGACGAGGCTGAGCTTCCCGACTTGGTGGAGTTGCTTAGGCAGAGGGTAGATATATTTGCTCTTGACTATGATGCTATTCTCACTGCCATGTATGCATTGCCTACTAGTGCTGACCGTGCCGGTCACTGTGCGTACCGCCTGACCCGGTATAGGACCTGCTGCTCTAGCTATTGCTGAGGCTGCTGCTGCTCTGGGTGCTAGTGAGTCTCCTGCTCCAGGTACAGGTGCGGCTGCTGCTCTAGGTGCTAGTGAGTCTGCTTCCTCAGGTGCGGGTGAGGCTGCGCTCTCAGGTACCACGTTGGCTTCGGCCTCCCTCACCTTTACACTTGACTCTGGGCTTCTCGCTCCTTCTTTCGGGACCGCACCACACTCACGCCGCTTGGTCGGCCTGTTGCAGTCTCCCTGGCTGACCCCTCTGGGGGTCCTGTCCTCGCTCACTTTTCCACTGTCCTCCCGTGTCCGGCTGCCCCCTCGGGCACCCTGTCTGGCCTGTACCTCCCCTCGTTCTCGACGAACTGGTGAGTGGTGCAGACCTGCAGGATGCGGGGGTTCACCAGTTCACTCCTGCGGTCAGCGGGTGACCCACTGCACGGACGCACGCACAGGCCGGCACCTGGCCACGTTCTCGCGTCGGCCGGGGTCGAGCCTCTACACCCTGACACTGAGTTTCCTCCTGTCCCTGCGTCCGGTTAGGTAGCAGCGTCAGGTCAGGTGTTGCTGCTGCGTCCAGTCTGGTCCTGAGTCTGCCCCCTGCTCGTGTCGCCTCTTGTCTCACGAGACTCTCCTGTGGCACCACCGTCTTGGCCACCCCTCCTTGCCCCGTCTTCGGGGCATGGCTTCCCGTGTCCTTGTCTCTGGTCTTCCCCAGTCTCTCCCTCCCCTTCCTTCGGGACCAGGACCTTCCTGTGTCCCCTGTGTCGAGGGGCGCCTCAGGGCTGCTCCTCACTCCTCCCAGTTTCCCCCGACAGAGGCTCCTCTGCAGACACTTCACATGGACGTGTGGGGCCCGGCCCCCGTCCGTGGGCAGGGTCACGAGCGCTACTTCCTGTTGGTGGTTGACGACTACTCGCGTTACACCACAGTCTTCCCCTTGCGCAGCAAGGGTGCTGTCACTGAGGTGCTGATCGACTGGATCCGCGAGGCTCGTCTCCAGCTCAGGAGGAGCTTCGGCTCGGACTTTCCTGTTCTGCGTCTGCACTCTGACCGAGGTGGGGAGTTCTCCTCTCGCCTTCTACGCGACTACTGTCGTGCACAGGGGATCCGCCAGACCTTACGCTTCCGGACTCTCCACAGCAAAATGGGATTGCTGAGCGCCGCATGGCATGGTCATGGATGTCGCTCGTACGTCCATGATGCATGCGGCTGCCCCCCATTTTCTGTGGCCGTTTGCGGTTCGGTACGCGGCGCATCAGCTCAACCTTCACCCCAGGGTCTCTCGGCCCGATATGTCCCCAGTGTTACTGTGGACGGGGAAGGTCGGCGATGCGTCTGCGTTCCGTGTCTGGGGATCTCGGGCGTTTGTCCGCGACTTGTCTGCGAACAAGCTGTCCCCCCGTGCTGCTCCCTGTGTCTTCCTTGGCTTCCCCCTGACGCTCCAGGGTGGCAGTTTTACCACCCCTCCTCTCGTCGTGTTCTGTCCTCCCAGGACGTCACGTTCGACGAATCAGTCCCCTCTACCGCCTCTTCCCCTACCGTACTCCTTCCTCCCCCCCCCACCGGACTTCCTGGTGCCAGTTCCCCCCCCGGTAGACCCCCTCCCCCCTCAGGTTCCTGCCCCTCAGGTGTGTCCCAGGTAGACACAGTCGAGCCAGTCGAGGTTGCTGCTGAGTCTGGTCCTGCTGCGGGTGCAGAGTGTGGGGGTGCTACGCCTGCGGGTGCTGAGCTTGGGGTGCTGCTGGGGGGTGCTGAGCCTGGGGGTGCGAGGCCGGGGGTGCTGAGCTTGGGGGTGCTGCTGCTGGGGGTGCTGAGCCGGGAGGTGCTACGTCAGGAGCTGCTGAGCCTGGGGGTGCTGAGCCTGGAGGTGCGGAGCCTGCGACTGCTGGACCTGGGGGCTCTCCGGTTGCTCCGTCTCGGCGGGAGCCGCTCTCTCCACACGAGCTGCGCGAGTGGTTTGCTCGCCGCTGGAGGCGTGCTGCTGGAGCTGGAGCTCCTTCGACTGCTGCGGGTGCTGGTGCTGCCGGTCCCGGAGCTGCTGGGCCTGAGGGTCCTACTGAGCTGGAGCTGCTGAGCCTGGGGGTGCTGAGTCTGGAGCTGCTGAGCCTGGGGGTGCTGAGTCTGGGGCTGCTGAGCCTGGGGGTGCTACATCTGGAGCCGCTGATCCGGGGTTTCTCCTGGTGCTGCGTCTCGGCGGGAGCCCCTCTCTCCACAGGAGCTGCGCGAGTGGTTTGCTCGCCGCTGGAGGCGTACTGCTGGAGCTGGAGCTTCTTCGACCGTCGAGGTACTGGTGCCGCCGGTCCCGGAGGTGCTACGCCTGCGGGTCCTACTGGAGCTGGGGCTGCTGAGGGCGTTGGTGCTGAGTCTGCTGCTGTCTGTCCTGACGGTGGTTCTGCTGCTGGTGCTGCTGGAGGTCCTGCCGCTGAAAATATATTCATCTAGTGAACGTAAGGGTTTGAAAGGTAACTAACGCATGTGTGTAGAGAAATTGTGCATCGGCCAGTCTGGCCGGCATTTCGCACTTATAGTGCAAGTAGGGCCAAGGAGAACGGAAACGCTCATTTCTCAAAAAAGTAGAGGGAATCTAGCGGTCTCACTCGATCAGAAGGTGGGAAATATATAAATCTAGTGAGCTAATAAGGTTCGAAAGGAATCTAATGCATATGTATATGGAAAATGGTGCATTGGCCAGGTCGGTCAGTATGGGAACTTAGAGTGCAAATGCCAAGGAGAACGGAAGCGCTCAGATCTCGCATAGTACACGGAATCTAGTGGTCTCACTCAAATAGAAGGTAGGAAATAAATTCATCTAGTGAACGTAAGGGTTTGAAAGGTAACTAACGCACATGTGTAGAGAAAATTGTGCATCGGCCAGTCTGGTCGGCATTCGCACTTATAGTGCAAGTAGGGCCAAGGAGAACGAAACGCTCATTTCTAAAAAATTAGAAGGGATCTAGCGGTCTCACTCGATCTGAAGGTGGGAAATATATATAAATCTAGTGAGCTAATAAGGTTCGAAAGGAATCTAATGCATATGTATATGGAAAATGGTGCATTGGCCAGGTCGGTCAGTATCGGAACTTAGAGTGCAAATGCCAGGGAGAACGGAAGCGCTCAGATCTCGCATAGTACACGGAATCTAGTGGTCTCACTCAAAAAAAAGGAAGGAAGGAAATAAACTCATCTAGTGAACGTAAGGGTTTGAAAGGTAACTAACGCACATGTGTAGAGAAAATGGTGCATCGGCCAGTCTGGCCGCATTTCGCACTTATAGTGCAAGTAGGGCCAAGGAGAATGGAAACGCTCATTTCTAAAAAAGGAAAGGGAATCTAGCGGTCTCACTCGATCAGAAGGTGGGAAATATATAAATCTAGTGAGCTAATAAGGTTTGAAAGGAATCTAATGCATATGTATATGGAAAATGGTGCATTGGCCAGGTCGGTCAGTATGGGAACTTAGAGTGCAAATGCCAGGGAGAACGGAAGCGCTCAGATCTCGCATAGAACACGGAATCTAGTGGTCTCACTCAAATATCAGGTAGAAAAATATATTCATCTAGTGAACGTAAGGGTTTGAAAGGTAACTAACGCACATGTGTAGAGAAAATGGTGCATCGGCCAGTCTGGCCGGCATTTCGCACTTATAGTGCAAGTAGGGCCAAGGAGAACGGAAACGCTCATTTCTCAAAAAGTAAACGGAATCCAGCGGTCTCACTCGATTAGAAGGTGGGAAAATATATAAATCTAGTGAGCTAATAAGGTTCGGAAGGAATCTAATGCATATGTATATGGAAAGTGGTGCATTGGCCAGGTCGGTCAGTATGGGAACTTAGAGTGCAAATGCCTGGGAGAACGGAACTGCTCAGATCTCGCATAATACACGGAATCTAGTGGTCACTCAAATATAAGTAGGAAATATATTCATCTAGTGAACGTAAGGGTTTGAAAGGTAACTAACGCACATGTGTAGAGAAAATGGTGCATCGGCCAGTCTGGCCGGCATTTCGCACTCATAGTGCAGGTGGGGCCAGGGAGAACGGAAGCGCACGTTTCTCAAAAAGTAGATGGAATCTAACGGTCTCACTCGATCAGAAGGTGGGAAAAATATATAAATCTATTCAGCTAAAAAGGTTTGAAATGTATTCAACGCACATGTATAGAGAAAATGGTGCATTGGCTAGGTCGGTCAGTATCGGAACTTAGAATGCAAATGCCAGGGAGAACGGAAGCGCTCAGATCTCGCATAGTACACGGAATCAAGTGGTCTCACTCAAATAGAAAGTAGGAAATATATCATCTAGTGAACGTAAGGGTTTGAAAGGTAACTAACGCACATGTGTAGAGAAAATGTCCATCGGCCAGTCTGGCCGGCATTTCGCACTTATAGTGCAACTAGGGCCAAGGAGAACGGAAACGCTCATTTCTCAAAAAGTAGAGGGAATCTAGCAGTCTCACTCGATCAGAAGGTGGGAAATATATAAATCTAGTGAGCTAATAAGGTTCAAAAGGAATCTAATGCATATGTATATGGAAAATGGTGCATTGGCCAGGTCGGTCAGTATGGGAACTTAGAGTGCAAATGCCAGGGAGAACAGAAGCGCTCGGATCTCACATAGTACATGGAATCTAGTAGCTCACTCAAATAGAAGGTAGAAATAAATTCATCTAGTGAACGTAAGGGTTTGAAAGGTAAACTAACGCACATGTGTAGAGAAAATGTGTGCATCGGCCAGTCTGGCCGGCATTTCGCACTTATAGTGCAAGTAGGGCCAAGGAGAACGGAAACGCTCATTTCTCAAAAACTAAAGGGAATCTAGCGGTCTCACTCGATCAGAAGGTGGAAAATATATTTATCTAGTGAGCTAATAAGGTTCGAAAGGAATCTAATGCATATATATATGAAAATGGTGCATTGGCCAGGTCGGTCAGTATGGGAACTTAGAGTGCAAATGCCAGGGAGAACGGAAGCGCTCAGGTCTCGCATAGTACACGGAATCTAGTGGTCTCACTCAAATAGAAGGTAGGAAATAAATCATCTAGTCAACGTAAGGGTTTGAAAGGTAACTAACGCACATGTGTAGAGAAAATGGTGCATCGGCCAGTCTGGCCGGCATTTCGCACTTATAGTGCAAGTAGGGCCAAGGAGAACGGAAACGCTCATTCTCAAAAACTAAAGGGAATCTAGCGGTCTCACTCGATCAGAAGGTGGAAAATATATTTATCTAGTGAGCTAATAAGGTTCGAAAGGAATCTAATGCATATATATATGGAAAATGGTGCATTGGCCAGGTTCGGTCAGTATGGGAACTTAGAGTGCAAATGCCAGGGAGAACGGAAGCGCTCAGGTCTCGCATAGTACACGGAATCTAGTGGTCTCACTCAAATAGAAGGTAGGAAATAAATTCATCTAGTCAACGTAAGGGTTTGAAAGGTAACTAACGCACATGTGTAGAGAAAATGGTGCATCGGCCAGTCTGGCCGGCATTTCTACTTATAGTGCAAGTAGGGCCAAGGAGAACGGAAACGCTCATTTCTCAAAAACTAAAGGGAATCTAGCGGTCTCACTCGATCAGAAGGTGGAAAATATATTTATCTAGTGAGCTAATAAGGTTCGAAAGGAATCTAATGCATATATATATGGAAAATGGTGTGCATTGGCCAGGTCGGTCAGTATGGGAACTTAGAGTGCAAATGCCAGGGAGAACAGAAGCGCTGAGGTCTCGCATAGTACACGGAATCTAGTGGTCTCACTCAAATAGAAGGTAGGAAATAAATTCATATAGTGAACGTAAGGGGTTGAAAGGTAACTAACGCACATGTGTAGAGAATATGGTGCATCGGCCAGTCTGGCCGGCATTTCGCACTTATAGTGCAAGTAGGGCCAAGGAGAACGGAAACGCTCATTTCTCAAACAGTAAAGGGAATCTAGCGGTCTCACTCGATCAGAAGGTGGGAAATATATAAATCTAGTGAGCTAATAAGGTTCGAAAGGAATCTAATGCATATGTATATGGAAAATGGTGCATTGGCAGGTTGGTCAGTATGGGAACTTAAAATGCAAATGCCAGGGAGAACGGAAGCGCTCAGATCTCGCATAGTACACGAAATCAAGTGGTCTCACTCAAATAGAAAGTAGGAAATATATTCATCTAATGAACGTAAGGGTTTGAAAGGTAACTAACGCACATGTGTAGAGAGAATGGTGCATTGGCCAGTCTGGCCGGCATTTCGCACTTATAGTGCAAGTAGGGCCAAGGAGAACGGAAACGCTCATTTCTCAAAAAGTAAAGGGAATCTAACGGTCTCACTCGATCAGGAGGTGGGAAATATATAAATCTAGTGAGCTAAAAAGGTTTGATAGTATTCAACGCACATGTATAGAGAAAATGGTGCATTGGCCAGGTCGGTCAGTATCGGAACTTAGAGTGCAAATGCCAGGGAGAACGGAAGCGCTCAGATCTCGCATAGTACACGGAATCAAGTGGTCTCACTCAAATAGAAAGTGGGAAATATATTCATCTAGTGAATGTAAGGGTTTGAAAGGTAACTAACGCACATGTGTAGAGAAAATTGTGCATCGGCCAGTCTGGCCGGCATTTCGCACTTATAGTGCAACTAGGGCGAAGGAGAACGGAAACGCTCATTTCTCAAAAAGTAGAGGGAATCTAGCGGTCTTACTCGATCAGAAGGTGGGAAATATACAAATCTAGTGAGCTAATAAGGTTCGAAAGGAATCTAATGCATATGTATATGGAAAATGGCGCATTGGCCAGGTCGGTCAGTATGGGAACTTAGAGTGCAAATATCAGGGAGAACGGAAGCGCTCAGATCTCGCATAGTACACGGAATCTAGTGGTCTCACTCAAATATAAGGCAGGAAATATATTCATCTAGTGAACGTAAGGGTTTGAAAGGTAACTAACGCACATGTGTAGAGAAAATGGTGCATCGGCCAGTCTGGCGGGCATTTCGCACTCATAGTGCAGGTGGGGCCCGGGAGAACGGAAACGCTCGTTTCTCAAAAAGTAGAGGAATCTAACGGTCTCACTCGATCAGAAGGTGGGAAATATATAAATCTAGTCAGCTAAAAAGGTTGATAGTATTCAATGCACATGTATAGAGGAAAATGGTGCATTGGCCAGGTCGGTCGGTCAGTATCGGAACTTAAAATGCAAATGCCAGGGAGAACGGAAGCGCTCAGATCTCGCATAGTACACGGAATCAAGTGGTCTCACTCAAATAGAAAGTAGGAAATATATTCATCTAGTGAACGTAAGGGTTTGAAAGGTAACTAACGCACATGTGTAGAGAAAATTGTGCATCGGCCAGTCTGGCCGGCATTTCGCACTTATAGTGCAACTAGGGCCAAGGAGAACGGAAACGCTCATTTCTCAAAAAGTAGAGGGAATCTAGCGGTCTCACTCGATCAGAAGGTGGGAAATA